TGGGCATTGGTCAGATTTCACGTAATCTGTGAATTGTGAATTTGGTAGGTCCCTATCCATAAGTGAGAGTAAGATATCCATTCTTCTGAAGGTAAGAAGGGCCAGGCCACACATCCATCTGTTCCTCTTTAAAGACACATCCATAAACACACAAGAGGGAAAAGGCAGAGGGTAGGCTGGCCCTCTTGGCAACCACAAGAAACTCCAAAGAGAAGGAATTCTTGTTGAATTGTTGAATTAATCTTGGTATGGTGAAAGACAATGGCTTTGTAAAAGATGGTGGCCAAGGGTTTTTGTCTCTCACTTCTCTATTCATGATCTGGTTCCTCTTTGTAGTTTTCTGTAATGTAATATGACATGTCAAGTTGACTTTAGGACTAGCAGAAAATGGGTGTAATGTAATAACTCAGCTAGTTTTGGTAAGGTGATATTTATTATCTGGCCACAATTTTAGAAGGTAGGCTGGGCATGAAAAAATGATCAATTACTTGATAACATGCACTGCATAACAATCAATGCAGCACATGTATAAGAATGAACAATTTTCACAAGGTTGTAGATAATTTGTACTTCTTTATTTTATTGTGTTGCTGCTAAATTATAAGATGTATCCTGAAACCCAATCTATTTAGTTAAATCAAGAGAAAGTTTAGGGATGACTTAATCATATTCTATAAATACCTATGTAGGTAAGCAGAAATCTGATAATAGTAGGTTCTTCAGTCCAGCAGTTACAAGATAATGAGATCCAGTAGCTGGAAGCCGAGGTGAGACAAATTCAGACAAGAAATAAAGCACAAGTTAAGTGAAGTTTGTTAATCACTGAAACAAGTTATTAGGTTTGTAGTGGGTTGTCCATCGCTGACAGATTTTAAACGAAGGCTTGATATTTTTCTAGTGATTATGCTGTAGTTCAAACAGGAATCATTTCGGGGATGTCCTGTGGCCTGTGTTATCCAGGAAGTCACAGTGGTTCTTTCTTATCTATGAATTCCTTCTAGTGGCAATATGCCATGCCAAGGCCTTCTATAGACGTTCAGAAAACTATATAGGGGTGCAGACAGAAGTGAAAATTTTCGCCCAATCTGGCCACAGAAAGCAGTTTATAGCTGTGACCAAATACAACTGCATGACTGCAGACAGCTTAAAAATGGCAGATTGGGTGAGAATCTGACCCTCCATTGCATGAGGTATCAGATAAAGACATTTCAGAATGTAGCGTCTTTTGTAAGTTGTCTGCGGAGCTCCCAGCCTGTTGCTGTTTTCAGAATGGGAGGAGGGAAAGGGAGTGAAGGGCATTCAGTCTGGGCTTTTCTCAGCCCCCCTGGAGGGTGGAGTGGTTGTATTGGAGCCCCCTCCTGAGGTGAGGGGGCTCCAATTCACCCACTCCACCCTTCAGCACCAGCTGAGGAGCCCCAAGAATGACCTCCCTCTGCTGCTTTTCCCCCTTCCCATTCTAAAAACAGCAACCACTAGCAGATAGCCGTGGCTGTTGTAGTGGGAACCTGGCTGCAGGTTCCCAGCCCACAGCTAGATTCCCCTCCCCCTGGAACCAACATTGAACTTCTGTCTGGTCTGGGGTAATGCTGTAAGTCAGAATGCTTTGCAGAAAACGTTCTGAATTACAGCTGGGTGCTGCACTTCTGCCTGCACCCCAGATGTTCAGGCTTTTTCTCCAAGTTTAAAAATGGCTACTCCAGGAGAAGCCTGGGAATAACCAGGGTTACATCATTGCCTGAGAGTTTCTCCTGGGAGAGCAAATGTCTGTATATACTGTTGGATAAGTTTTTCTACCAGGAGAACAAACCTGGAAGAATTTGCCTAGATTATTTGAATGTGTTCTCATGTGCAAGTCTTCTAATTTACTTATTCAAATTGTTTAAGTTTTGTTAAATGTAAATAAGAAAAATAATCTGAACATTCTAGGTCCGTGGTGCTGAAGCCCCATCTTCCAGGTGAACAATTTATCAACCACAAACTGACAGTTCCAGCAGTTTTTTGCATCTCAAAATGATCTGCTGGGCTGCTGCTGTTGTGTAAGCCTAGTAGAAAAATCACTTCTAAACATCATACCTGGATCTGGCATGGCTGGGGATTTCTAGGCAAATGCAGATGTCCTAAAATAAATCACTAGGTAGATAATATAAGGCAAGCATTGAGGTGTAAAGAATAAGAACATATTCAATTGTAATAGACATTTCTTGACTGTATTCAAAGGCAGATTAGGATCATATTAGGGGAGGGGTAGAGAACATTGGCTCTGGGTGCCAAGATGGAAGGGCACGAGAATTGTCCCTAGCCCCATGCAGTCCGCACCCCGACAGCATTGCCATGATGAGAACTCCAAAACAACTCCCGGCTACTGCTGCTTTATGAGCAACAGCTGGGCCAGGCAGCAGCAGCTCAGCTGGAACTGTGTAGAAGTCCTGGCACAAGGAGGCTGCTGACCCTCTCCCTGCTTTCACTGCTCCCCTCCGTCCCACCCCTTAGAAACTGTGCTTTTAGAACCGAAGCCCCCCACCCATACTCCATTTTCAGAGCTGTGTGCCAAACCCGCCCCCCTGCTTTTCTGCAGGATTTGACCCAAGCACTAATTCTGTAACACCACTGTGATGGATACATATTTTGATGATCTGTTGGAGGATTTTTTAATATGCATTCAGAAATAGTAAAATAAAAATAGACTGCCCCCGAATCATAACATTAAGTGTGGGAGTGAGAAGCTCCAGAAAGGTATATAGGGTGTTCCTTCTTTCCTTCCTTCCTGGAGTTTCGCTGTCTTTGCTTAGTGGGAGATGGAGGAAGAACAGGTGCAGTGACTGTGGGTGGCTTGTCATTGCCTGGAGTTAGAGACCTGTGCTAAGCGCTAGATGCTTCTGCAGCTCAGAAAAGCAGTAACTGAAATGCAGATCAGAACTGCAGGCAAGATACTGCAGTCTGACAGATTCATCCAGCAATGGTCCAAGCCAAAGATCCTAGGGTTTTCCCAGTGAGTAATCAACTGGCTTTTGCACTGGCAGATGCTCTCAGATTAACTCCTAGAAAAAAGGCATAATTTAGTAGGATTTTTAATTAAACTAATGCTACTTCTAATCACTTCACTTTTGAAGACTTGAATCAAATCTTGAAGGGAAAAAAACAGATACTTTGCTGTTTAAACAACATACACTGAAATGTTTTAATTTATGCAGCTGGCACATCCACAGTTGATACCTCATGTGGATATCTTGAGAAGTATTACAAGGCTTGTAGGAAGCTTGAGTGAGAAGTCTTTCCCCTTAAATCCTTATGTATTTTTAATTAACTTTAGAAAATAAAGAAATAATGGGGATGGTAGAAATGCTGGAGATCTGGGAATTTTTGCATTACATGATCTGTACCCTGGTTAGGGTTCTGACTAAATCTAAATTACAATTGTTGGAGAGCGTGTCCTCGGTTTCCAAGACTAGTGGAAGTCAATAGTCAACATCAACACTAGAGAACAGGAAGCAATTAGTTTCAGAAGTGCTCTATTCCGAAGAAATATCCCTGTAATATCATTATACAACGCACCTATATATTCAACAAATGTTCAATAAGGCAGCCAGTATAAAGTACATTTCAGTCACCACTTTAGTTTGAGTTTATGTGCCTCATCTTATTTTGTAAGGGACTGCAGACAAGGATTGTCTCTCGCTTCTATATTCATGATACAAGTCCTCTTTGTTGTTTTTTAGTACAACATGTCATGTTCATGTTAGCACCAGAAGAAAATGGGTGTAATGCTGTAACAAAGCTACTTTTCTTATGTTAGACTTATTATCTGAACACAATTTTAGAAGGTAGGCTGGGCATGAAAGAGTGATTGATTAGTTGATAATATGTACTGCATAAACATCAATGCAGCCCATGTATAAGAATGAACACACTGCTGGGAGAGACAAATTTACTGGACAACCTGATTTTCAGTTGCAAGCGATACACATCTAGGACCCAGTTAGTCAGCAGAGCATGCCCACTCACATATTTTGGAGCTACTTGGTTATGCAGACAATAGGACCAGGTTCCATCTTGAGATATGCATGGTCCTGTTTCAAGCAGGAGATGGAAATCAGTGGTGAAATAATTATTATCAGAAAGTTGCAGTGAAAATATGGATTTTCACTGCAACCCACAGATTTTTCACTTGAGATAACTGTTGTAATGTGTCTAACAGACCTAAGGTGTAGAACTGAATGACCAAAACAACCATAGCCTGTGTGCCCAAAAGATAAACAAACCAGCTCTCCAAACCCTGGTTTTTAAATAGTATTTGGATCCTATGATACTTATAAGCAGTGTTCGTCCACTTGTAATTTAAAGCAATCTGGAACAGGATGATGTTGCTGCATAAAAATACTGTAAAGCTATTAGTTATAAATATAATGTAGGTTGGAAATACAGTCTGACAATATTTTGAGCCCAGCATCAAGTGCAATATCTCTTTCAGAGGCAATCTGCTTTATTAGATTTGGGAAGTGCTGGGACTAAAGTATGGAGTTGGTTATAAAGCAGAACAGATACTGGCTAAATGAATAAGTCTGATGTTAGACCATAACCCCGAAGTGTCCATCCTTTGTTTTTACTGAGAACATGGACACACACAGTTCTCAGAACTGTTTAAATGTGGTTTAAACCTGAAGCAGACAGACATACAACCCTGTTAAATCAGTTTAAATTTTTCTGAGATGATTCAGGCGTGTACCCAGAAACATCAAGTACTGTTTTGAACTGTTTTATTGTGAACTGGTTCAGTATTATGTGTGGACACCAAGCATTCCATAACACAGGTCTGGTCGGTCTTCCAGGAACATATAAATAGAGAAACCACATGTGTTTAAGATATAAAAATTTAGCTTAGAAATATTTGACATTCTTCCTGAGCTTTGAGTGGAAAAAATATACACAAGTACCCTCAGGGTTGTAACAGTGTCTCAGTGATGATGGACAAGCTCTGATGCATTGGTTTTGATTTCTCTTAGATAAAGAAGAGGCAGCAAGATGTGGTGCGATTTCTGGAAGCCAACAGGATAGAGTTTGAAGAGGTGGATATCACAATGTCGGAGGAACAAAGACAATGGATGTATAAGAATATCCCACGGGACAGACTGCCTTCACAGGGCAATCCGTTACCACCCCAGATCTTTAGTGATGATCAGTACTGTGGAGTAAGTGGTTTCATGGTCTTGACTGAGTACATTGTTAACATCATTTTTTAAAAAATTAACATTCGCCATTATATATCAGGAAGTAGTATCTGAGATACCTTGGCTTGGGAGATAGCTCTGATAAATGTCTGTGTAGTGGATATCCCTATAAATATTTATTTATTTATGGCCATCAGCCTCCCATCCATAAATATAGGACCTTGTAGGCAGATGAAACATTTCAGAAAGGTAGAGCTGTGCATGAAATTCCTAGAGCCTATGATTCCTACTGATTACTTGTTTGACTGGTGTCCAGCTTTAATGTTAATCTAGAAGTCTGAGAAGGGAACAGGCAATATTCACTGAGAACATGGGCTCTACTGAGTCTACATGGTATGTGTATTATGTTGCAAATTGGCTTTACCATGCGTTAAAAGTATAGCAAATGCATAATAGAGAGCCCTATCATGTTGTAAATCACTTGAATCTGGGTAAAGCTGCTCTGTGAATAATGTGTAGTTGCTTTAACCATGTGGCAGAACTACTCAGGAACATACCTGTTGTCTTTCTCCCATAGTAATTTTAATTTGGAGTAGCTGCTTGTTGTGTGCAAATTGGCTTCCCTTCCACCTAGTGGCCAGGCCTGTAATTGCACATACTGCTACGTGCCATTACAGCCAGCTTGAGAGAGATGATTGTGGGTGTCCACTCTTT